ATGCCCCACTGTGCCCAGGATGCAGGACTTGGAGTCAAAGAAGATTATTTTGGAGCTTTAAGACATAATGTCTACCCTGCTGGGTTTTGGAATTGTTTGGGGCCTGTTTCTCCTTTCTTCTGGCCTATTCCTCCCTTTGGAATGGGAACGTGTACCCAATGTCTGTTCCACCAGTGTATCTTGGCAGTAGATAAATTTGGTTTTGATTTTTACAGGTTCACAGCTGGAAAGACTTGACTTTGGTCTCAGATTAGACTTTGGACTTTGGACTTTTAATTTGGTGCTGGAGCAAGCTAAGACTTTTGGGACTGTTGGGATAGAATGACTGTATTTCATATGTGAGAGTGACCTGAGTTTTGGGGGCCAGGGGCGGAATGATGGAGTTTTGATGTGTTGTCCCCTCCAAAACTCATGTGGAAATTTGATCTCCAATGTGGCAGTGTTGGAAACTGATTAAGTCATGGGGGTGGACCCCTCATGAATGGATTAATGCTCTCCCTGGGGGAGGAGGGGTAGTGAGTGAGTTCTCACTCTAAGAGTTCCCGTGAGAGCTGATTGTTTAAAGGACGCTGGCACCTTCTCTCTCACTCTCTCCCTCTTGCTTCCTCTCTCGCCATGTGATCTGCTTGTACCTGCCAGCTGCCTGCTGCTTTTCCGCCATGAGTAGAAGCAGCCTGAGGCCTGTGCCAGATGCAGCTGCCCCAGAATCGTAAGCCAAATAAACCTCTTTCCTTTATAAATTATCCAGTCTCAGGTATTTCCGTTATAGCAACACAAAACGGAGTAAAACAGAAGGTTTGACTTCAATGACCTGCTGGGCAATATGAAAAGGTCTAACATTCATATCACTGAAGTCTAAGAAGGAGAGGAGAAAGGGATTAGTGAAGAAAACTATCTGAAGAAATAATATCTGAATGCTATTTACAATAGTCAAGAGTTGGAACCAACCTAAAATGCCCATCATCAGATGAGCGGATAAGGAAAATGTGGTATATCTACACAATGGAATACTACTATTATAAAAAAAAAAATGAAATACTACCATTTGCAGCAAGATGGACTTAGAGAAAATTATATTGAGATAAGCCAGACACAGAAAGAGAAATACCGCATGTTCTCACTTATCTGTGGGAGCCAATAAAAATAAATATACAAACAAATAAATGGGGGGGAGGGGAGAAGACACAGCAATCACAATAATTCCTTGAACTTAAGACAAGTGAACAGATATGATGTTGATGGGGGGGGGCGGGGGGGCAGGGAGGAAGGAAAAGGAGGAACTGGTGGAGGGACATGAAACTCAACTACATTGTATATTGAAAAATAAGAATAAAAATAAAAAAATAATGGCTGAAAACTTCCTAAACTTGATGGGAGACATAAGTTTATAGATTCTAAATGCCCAATGAACCCAGAGTTTAAACAAAAAAACAAAGTGATCTATTTCCAGCAGACTTTTTCCTGGTAACCTATTCAAGCTTCTCATAAATGTCCTGATTCCTAAGCTATTAATTCATTTTTGCCTTCAGTGAATAAATATATACTTTCAATTCATTGAAAACGCTATTGATTTTAAGAAGCACAATTATTTTACATAACATTTAAAAATGCTCCCAAATAATTTTATAATGCCATTTATAAAAGACAAGTTCTGACTTGACAGATATGAAAATGTTTAAAAAAAAAAAAAAGCATCTTAGAATAAGCACCCTCAGTACTACACAGATAGTGTGGTAAATAGAATGGACACAAGCATCTAGTTCTGACATCTGATATATATCATTCCTCTTGTAACATTACTCATTGCTCTTTCTTCTTGCTTGGTCTTAGTAAGAAAAGACAAAATATGTATTTAGAAAAACTCATTGCTCTATATTGATAAGACTCTCCTCCAAAATCCCACCTGTCTCTCTGTCTGCACTTTACAAACCTTCCCTATGGCAAGGGAAAGCATAATCTAACAATAACTAAATTTCCATCCTAATCATTCTCTATTCTTCAAACTCTATTATTTTTCTTGAAAGAATGAAAGGCTAGGTAATTTAAGCCTTTTTCCCTGCAAAAATAAAGCTACTCACAAAATTCCAACCATGTTTACAAACTCCTCATACTGACTTTCTTCCTTTAAGGATAAATTACTTTATTTTTGTCTTAACCTGGGACAGTTTTATGTATCTTTAGAGTCCATTTCATTCTCAAGTTATTTATAAAGCACTAAGAGAATACACTGGAAATTAAGTTTTTTAAATAAAATACAGAGGCCCCAGGGTTTTTAAAAATTGCATCAGTCACTAAGTGACAGCCAAATCCACATTTCTCTTCAAAGTATTTGACCTCTTACTCCCACTTTTGAAATAAAACATAAGTTGTACAAGCTTGAGTGTGCATCTCTAATAGATCTTACTCGTAGCTATTAAGCCTTTGGGGGGAAAAAAAAACAGAAGACTTCCCTCTACCACATTAAAAAGTCTAGATTTCTCATCCCTTTTTCCAGATGTATAATTTTTATTAAAAACAACAGATTTTTAACCCCTGTATCTCAAGTGCATATTTCTGACTCTGCTATGTTGAGTCATAAAGAACATTCTTATAGATGATGGTCAGCCCCTAGGTGCCAGCAGTGGTCAAACAGCTGGCACCCAACTCTAGGAGTAGCCCTGATTAAATGCCACTTTGGAGACCCCACCCCCAACTCTAAGTCACTAGTCATTTCTTTTCATCCACAGAGACAGAGTGTTTTTAAAAAACATAACATTGGCTGGGGCCGGCCCGGTGGCGCAATGGATAGTGCGCCGCTTGGGAAGCGCGGCGGCGCTCCCACCCGAGGGTTCGGATCCCACATACAGACCGGTTCCCGCTCACTGGCTGAGCGAGGCGCGGGAGCAACACCGAGGGTTGCGATCCCGTTGCCGGTCCCCGGTCCAGTACGGGGGCAACACTGAGGGTTGCGATCCGTTGCCGGACACGGAAAAAGACAAAAGACAAAACAAACAAACAAACAAACAAACAAAAAACGTAACATTGGCTTACTAATAAAATGGAAGGAACATGGTCAAATATGGACTTCAAACTGACCAGAGAGCCCTTTTACACTGGGCATGGAGCTCCTCTTCTGGCAATGGGTACATAATTAAGCAGCTCTGCTCCAGAGGAAAAAGTCAGCTTTACTGAGTACATACAGTCGTCCCTCCCATATCTATGGGTTCTGCATCTGCAAATTCTACCAAATGCGGATCAAAAAAGTACTATAGTTAGGACAAAGAGGTTGCATCTGTACTAAACATGTACAGACTTTTTTTCTTTTCACTATTCCTTAAACAATATAGTATAACAACTATTTACACAGCATTTACATTGTGTTAGGTATTTCAAGTAATCTAGAGATGATTTAAAGTATGCGGGAGGATGTGCCTAGATTATTATGCCATTTTATATCAGGGACTTGAGCATCTGAAGATTTTGGTATCCTTGGGGAGTCCTGCAACCAATACCCCATGGATACCAAGGGAAGGCTGTATAGGTCTCCTAACTGAAAGTAGGATGTACAGCTGACAGTGGTCTTAACACTCTCACTTTTAACTGTTCTAGGGCTGGCTGGGCAAAGTTGTGCAGAAAGCAGAGGTCTCTTCTCTGGACCACCGTTTTGGTTTCCTATAAGCCTAGCTGTGACTGAACTAATGAACTGACCACCTAAATGCTCACACTGCAAACAAACTCATAATCAACAGCCTCAAACCTTTCCATCTGGATGTCCCCAAAGTGCCCTCCACATTGGAGATCCTCTCAGATAAGCTTGGAGCCTTTGTATAGCTCAGTCTGGAAACTAATATGTGGGAGTAAAACTACAAACTGATTTGTTTCATTTGTCGTGCCACATGTGGGGGCCACTTATCAGTCTAGTTTTTAAAGAGAACCAGCCTTACATGTGCCTGGAACACAATGAGGAATTCAATACTCAAGCACTGGAATATAGGCTATTTTAGGAGGTCTTCTTTTTGCTCTAAGTGGGGGGTGGGTAGCTAGAGGGGTGAAGGTCAGGAGCTGAAAATACTATTTGACAAAATAATTATTTTTGCAAGCTGCTGCACTGGCGGGACAGAGGTCTGGGACTTGGCATGGAGGAGTCCCCGCCTCACAATCTGATACCCACCACTGAGCAGCCCACCACCTGCAGCCCGGGGCCAGGCCCGGGGAGGGGGCACCAGCAGACCCTGGCCTCCAGCCATGCTACCTCTCTTAGGGGCACTGGATCAGACATGGCAGACAACCAGCCAAAAAAAAAAAAAGAAAGAAAGAAAGAAAAAGAAGAGACGAGGGGGAGAAGGGGTGGGGTGGGGGGCCTAAAATTTGGATTCGGCGGGTCTTTTCAAACACTTTAATCCTTTCGTGCTGATGGTTCCTGGAGTGTCTGTGGCTGGCACTGGACCCTACACCGGGAAAATCCAACTCCCGAAGCCAATGCATTAAAGAGAAAACTGTTAATCAGCTAAATAGAAACTGGAATCTGTTCACATGAAGTCTCTTTTTTCCTCCGTCACCAGAGGGACACCATAGTGTTCTGAAATACACTCCTGACATCAGTTGGCAGGGAACCCTATTTTGTTGAACATGATTCATCCGTTAGGTTATTGTTTTTAATATTAGAAAGTGAGCTTTTAAATGCCAAACAAATTTTGCAGCAGGGGACAAAAGATATTCCAAGTGGTCTCCCTGGACCTTCCACCAACTGTGTCCACCAAATGGCTGAAAAGAAACCTTCCCCTGGTGCTTCAGAAATGAAGCAGAGACATAGCTATATCCAACTATTACCTAATATGAGACTTTGTTCTCCAAGTGCAGAGTGTTGTGGGATCAGGGCTGAACTCAGGTGGGCAAAGCTGTAGATTGAGAACCAAGGAGTGGGAGCCATAGAGGAAATTGGCAAGCGCAGTGGAGCTGAGTGGTCAGGCCTTGGCAGAAGCTGTGGTGGCTACAAAATGCTGCTTTTCACTTAGACATACCTTCTGTCCATGTTGCCACTGACCATCAGGTTGGGAGGGCTGTCCCTGAGGTTGACACAAGTGAAGTCACCAAGTGCATTCCCCAGCTTTGAGAGGCAGCGTTCTGCTTCCAGGCTATACACCAGGATCTGGGAGAGGAAGAGAAGCGTGTGAATGCACAGTTCCATATGCCAGACTGACCTCCATCATCATCTCACCATTGTCCCGAGCACAATCCTTACCACTCAGCCCCTGTTAAGATGCTCTGCCGCTTAATTTCCTGACCTCTTCCTGGTTACTGGTAGGTAGGAATATGGCTATTAGAATGACAAAAGGAGATGCTAAAAAGAGGAAAATCCAAAAGTTCCTTAGGCCAAGGCGCAAACAAACTCATAGGGCCCAAAGGGAAATACCAAATGGAGAAAATAGGTAACCTAATTTCTTAACACAGAAAAAGAGGTAGGAAACTAAGGGTCACTGACTACATCTGTTTTGGAATTAATGGGAGAGCTAACAAAAGATCAGGAAGCTTGCAGATGAGCCAGCGTGGGTTCTCTTTTTGTATACATACCACGGAAGGTAAAAGAAAGAACAGTACAAGTATCCAAGAAGGTGGAACTTCCCTAGTGAATCATTAGATGATTCTTTTGTACTAAACAATGAATCAAAACACAAACTCTTCTCAAATATTTCTCCTGTTGGTCATTCTCCACTTGCTAATTTTAGAAAGTGCTGCTCCATAAAGTAGCAAAGCCACAAAGAAGGAATACCCCTGATCTCTAGGCGATGCATTTGTTATATTAGAACACTTCTGTGCCTTCTCTCCAGCAAAAAGAAAAAAAAGGCTGATTCATAAGGAATCTTTCTGAAGATTAAGTCTTTTACTAAAAACAAATCTTAATTCAATTAACATTAAGTGCTTGCTATGGATCAGTCATTGTAGGTGCTGAAGACAGAGCCTGCCCCCAAATTCACAGTTTAAAAGCCTCCTCTTTAACATGAACACACATTTAGTTCTGAGAATACTGTTTATCTATTCTGTTGATCATGTGGTTAATATTTTTAAATTAATCACTGAACTCAAAAGTTTTAATATTTTGTACAGATTTCTCCTCTCAGCACACACATGGAAATGATGTGCTTTCTTCTTGTAATCTATGTATTTATCATTTATCAGTCTACAGGTTTTTACTTAATAATAACTCAAACAGTATCCACCTTGAAAATCATCAATCACATTGTCAACATACATTTCTAACAAGTGAATCTTTGGAAATTCCTAATAGTCAAACAACACTATAATGTTAATTAACTATTACTAACAATATATGAAAGGAAAGAGGACAAATTCAAAACTTAAAATGCCCTCGTAATCCATGAAGACCTTAGGGAACAAGCTAAGATGCAGCTGAAAATAAAAGTTCCTGACTCAGAAAATTTCAACAATTCTAAAATATCCAAAATAAGATTATTCTGTAAGAATACAGAAAGAACTTAATCTTCTATCTTCAGTGAATATTCTAAAAATGATATAAAATCAGCTCCTGAAGAGAGAAAAAAAAATTAAAAACAGCAACCTCACAGTCTATTATAAAAGTAATATTCTGCAGTAACCCATCATTATAGAGCTTTCAATATTTTGTTTTTAAAAAATACTTCAACTTCTATAGCAGGAAGGTAGGCCTTAAATCAGTAAAACATCCGTAGTAAATATAAGAACTGAAATCAATTCGTACATCTTTACTTTTTCTAGAAGTTATTTTTTGACAAGTGGATCAATCATTTGTAAGGGATGTAGTGAGATCTAATCCCTCTCCAAAAAGACTCTCTGCAAATTCACCATAAAGACATCTAAGTTAGTAGTCAAGAGTCAAGTCTTTTCTAAAATGTTTAATAATTCAAAGAATCAGAACTATCTAAAGAGTACCTTTACCATTACATTTAGTTAAAGACCACAGAGATTAGAAAACACATTACCCATCTCGAAGGCGGTTCTTTCCATGTTACAAGTCCCTTAACAACCTTTACCATTTCTCCCTCCCTCCCTCCCGCACTCTCTCTCTTTTAATAAGGTTGAGCAAATGGGACTTCATTTTATCTGATTGCCACAGACTAGAAAGATTAATTATTCATGCTCACACTCTCCCTCTTGTTAAGACCATGCATTAGACTAATTTTTCTCTTTATTGCCCTAGTTGGGTGAGTCTCAACCCATGGCCACTTGACTCATTCTCAGAGGTGTACGGATATGCTAGAAAGAAGAAAAAAACTACCCATAGCTACAATCTTGGAGAAAATGTTCGGCACTAATGTGATCGCCAAGTCAATAGATACTGGAGATTTTTTCTAAGTACCAAGTGCATATTATAGAGGAGCTTAAACAGTGATTACAGAGCAAATTTTTATGAGCATTAAGAGGTTTCCTTAAGAATTATCTAAAACAGCTAAACCTTGTTGGGACTGGTGTATGTTTTACAATGGTAACAGCAGGAAATGTAGTGTGTAGTCACATGACACTGGGTGGTTTCCTTTCTCTTTGGCTTCTAGGTAGATCCAAAGGCACTAAGTAGAAGCAAGCATTGTCTTTTAAAGAGAACTTTAGCAGAAAGTTCTCTATTTTTCTTTCTTCAAGATCTTAAATAATTTCCATAAATCCTACTCTTCGAATCTTGATTTTCAATTTTGCCAATTATTCTGATTTCTCTGTAATCTATTTCTAAAAAATCTTTGTTTTTCCTGATTTCAAATATAGTATATCTTATAACAAATTCTAACGTAATAGAATTACATAACAAAGTGGTAGTCCTCTTCTGTTTATCCATCTCTCAGGAATAACCACTTTTAACAGTTTGGTGTATGTACTTCTAGACTTTTTTATGCATGTCTGTCTGTCTCTATACACATGTGTGTATAAAATTTTATTTCCTGAATCAGATGTTATTCCACAACTTGTTTTTCCCACTTGTCAGTACATACCTATAGATAGATCTTGTTCTTATTAATAGCTGTCTAGAATTTCTCTGTGGATATGTAATTCCACACTGATGGATGTTTGGGTGGTTTCTAATTTTTTAGATAAAAGAAATAATGCTGTAATTCATTCAATAGCCAGTCAACCACAATTTATTAGTCATTTTCTAGGCACTAGGCACTGGAATGAACAGGGACAGAGGATGAAGTGTGAAGCCTCAGCCTGCTGCCAGCTGAGAGTCCGCCTCCTCACCAGCTGGTGCCCGGCCACCAGCTGTCCTGCTCCTCCATACATGGGACCTGCCTCTCTGAGGAGACCTGCTGACCCATCTCACAGCCATGTCCTAGTGGCTGGTGTCTTAAGCAGCAGGAGCAGCAATACACGCCCAACATCTGGGTAGCATCAGCAACTGCCCTAGGGCAGACAGGCCCTGAGTGACCTGGACCATTTAGGTGCCCAGGATTGGCTTTCCAACCACACTGTGAAGGAAAAAGCTGAGGCACGGCCATTGTCCCTATAGTGGAGTGAGCACAAGCCAGGCCCACTTCCTCCTTCACCCAATAAGAACTGGATTTAGCACTGTAAACTTTTCATAAATCTGGGACTGACACTACTCATAGTTAAAGATGAAGTACTTGCATACAGAAATCGCTATGAAGAGACTGTAGAGTCTTGCTGTCCCAGAATTCTGGTCATGTACTGAGGAAGGAGGAAAGGAACGCCACATGTGTTTTCTTTAAGTTTACCAAAATAGTGAGTCTTCCTCACACTCAATATCTGCCAAAGGCATTAAGCCAGCAACAATAACACCCTGAGCAGCTGACTTGCCTCCTCAGAACCCCAGCACTGCCTTCCAGAATGGTCACGAGTGGTCAGAAGGCTTCCTTACAAGACTATAGCCTTTCAAAAGCTTTGTGATTATTTGCCACCATTTAAAAAAGGGAAGTGACAAAGAGAGCAAAAGGCAGGAGATGCTGCAGTGGCTTGAGGCAGAGTGAAGAGGCAGAGCTGACTGAAACTCACGGAGGCCACAAAGTCTACCTGCTTTCTTTTCTGATCCCTGATAACCTACCTCCTTCACTACCACATATATTTTGCTCTTCTGAAGGGGAGGTGGGCAGGGAAGTCATGATAAGAAACCAAACTCTAGAGAGTAAAACAAATAAACCTCCTGCTCTCTCCTCTTCCATGCACTCAAGTTTATTTTGTGTTCCCTTCTCCACGAAGCTCTCAGCATACAAGTTCATTCCCTCTCATCAGTGCTGAAGGTACTTACTGTACCCACCTCATCTGGTGTTCCCACGGGGCCACCTTGAACTGTGAGTTATCTCCTCTATCTCCCAGACCTGTGGTTCTCAAACGCTGGAGGATAGGAGGGTCTCTGAAGAGTCTGATTTTAGCAGGTCATTTGTGAAGCTCTGTTACCAAGCATCACACCACATGTAAAACACTCTTCTAGATTTAAGGCTATTAGTTCCTTGGGGCAGAAATCCTATCATGTGCCAGTTACTGTGTTAGTTATACATTCACCGTGTCTTGCTAAGTGTTCACATTTGTGTTTGGAGATGAACTGGCTCATGATACCAGGCAAACCCAGAGTTTACCACAATCTGGGGCCCAATAAATACTCACATATACCTTTTCTTGCTTAACAGATTCCTACATTCCTCAATATCTGATCTTGAGGCTGGCTTGTAGGTTTCTTAAGTAGGAACCACTTCATCCTACTCAAAACAGAAGGTTCTCTTCATAATACCCAGATTCTAGAATACCCAAACTTCACCCAGTCCTAAGGTTCCATCTCTGAAAACCCTCCTATTTACAAACACTGAAAATGCTGGGTAAGTTTCAGTCTAGTATCAAACAGTCCTTCAAATATTCTGCTTAACTCATAAGAAAGAGAAATTCACAGGAGTCAAAAATGAAGGGAACACTAAAACCAGAAACATAAGTGAGCATTCAAGCCAGGGGCTAGGCTGGGGACACTTGTCAATGTCAGGAGCCTAGAGAGCTGGGGAAACAGGAGATCAAGTATCTGGCCGGCACAAAGCAGAGGATCAAAATTGAGATCTCTGCATAAACCTGGGCCCTTGTAGGCTACATATGCTCAGTAAAAAGCGAGCTAGGGGAAAAAAATTTATTCATTGGTGAAGATAACCTACCCAGAAACTTGTCTAC